CCAAGATTTAGAACCTCAAAGCCAAAGTGAGAGCATTTGGGTCAAAATTAAGGAGAGAAGAATAACAGTGACCTCATTGTGGGAGTTTACTATAGATCCCCAAGCCAAACGGAGGACATAGATGATGCCTTCCTGGAACAGATGGCCAAGCATGCAAAAGGAAGGGAGATAGTAGTGATGGGGGACTTCAATTACCCGAATATTTGTTGGATGTCAAACTCAGCCAAGAGCATAAGGTCAAACAGATTCCTCACTGGCCTTGCAGACAACTTCATTGTCCAGAAAGTGGGAGAAGCAACAAGAGGAACAGCCATTTTAGATCTGGTCCTAACCAATGTTGATGACCTGGTTAGTGGGGTAGAAGTGGAAGGATCATTAGGTGCTAGTGATCATGCTCTTCTAAGGTTTACTATACAGCGGAAAGGAGCAGCCAAGCATACTAGAACTCAATTTCTTGACTTTAAGAAAGCCGACTTCATAAAACTTAGGGAAGTGCTGGGTGAGATCCCATGGACAGTAATACTAAAAGGAAAGGGAGTTCATGATGGCTGGGAGTTTGTTAAGAGGGAGATAGTAAAAGCACAACTTCAGGAAATACCAATGAGACGGAAACATGGAAGGTGCCTAAAGAAGCCAGGGTGGCTATCTAAAGAACTTTTAACTGAGTTAAGATTTAAAAAGGATGTGTACAAAAATGGAAAAGGGGGAAACCACCAAAGAGGAATTCAAACAAATAGCCAGCACATGTAGACACAAAGTCAGAAAAGCTAAAGCACAGAATGAACTCAGGCTTGCTAGAGAGGTTAAAAGCAACAAAAAAGGCTTTTATGGGTATGTTCGTAGCAAAAGGAAGAACAAAGAAACAGTGGGGTCACTCAGAGGAGAAGATGGTGAAATGCAAACAGGGGACACAGAAAGGGCTGAACTCCTCAATGCCTTCTTTGCCTCAGTCTTCGCCGATAAAGAAAACAATGCCCGACCTGAAGAATTTGGAGCAAATGATTCAGCAGAGGAAACACAGCCCAGAATAACTAAGGAGATAGTACAAGAATACTTGGCTAGTTTAGATGTATTCAAGTCTCCAGGGCCAGATGAACTGCATCCAAGAGTATTAAAAGAACTGGCAGATGTGATCTCAGAACCACAGGCAAAGTCCCAGCAGACTGGAGGAGGGCAAATGTTGTCCCTATTTTCAAAAAGGGGGAAAGAGAGGACCCAAATAATTACCGCCCAGTCAGTCTGACATCAATACCAGGGAAGATTCTGGAGCAGATCATTAAGCAAACAGTCTGTGAGCACCTAGAAAGGAATGCTGTGATCACCAATAGTCAGCATGGATTTCTGAAAAATAAGTCATGTCAGACTAACCTGATCTCGTTTTTGACAGAATTACAAGCCTGGTAGATGAAGGAACGCAGTGGATGTAGCCTACCTTGATTTCAGCAAGGCATTTGACAAGGTGCCCCATGATATTCTTGTAAAGAAGCTGGTAAAATGCGGTCTTGACTATGCTACCACTCAGTGGATTTGTAACTGGCTGACTGACCGAACCCAAAGGGTGCTCATCAATGGTTCCTCTTCATCCTGGAGAAGAGTGACTAGTGGGGTGCCACAGGGTTCTGTCTTGGGCCCGGTCTTATTCAACATCTTTATCAACGACTTGGATGATGGACTCAAGGGCACCCTGATCAAATTTGCAGATGACACCAAACTGGGAGGGGTGGCTAACACCCCAGAGGACAGGATCACACTTCAAAACAACCTTGACAGATTAGAGAACTGGGCAAAAACAAACAAGATGAATTTTAACAGGGAGAAATGTAAAGTATTGCACTTGGGCAAAAAAGTTTAGAGGCACAAATACAAGATGGGGACACCTGGCTTGAGAGCAGTACATGTGAAAAGGATCTAGGAGTCTTGGTTGACCACAAACTTGACATGAGCCAACAGTGTGACGCGGCAGCTAAAAAGCCAATGCAATTCTGAGCTGCATCAATAGGAGTATAGCATCTAGATCAAGGGAAGTAATAGTGCCACTGTATTCTGCTCTGGTCAGACCTCACCTGGAGTACTGTGTCCAGTTCTGGGCACCACAGTTCAAGAAGGACACTGACAAACTGGAACGTGTCCAGAGGAGGGCAACCAAAATGGTCAAAGGCCTGGAAACGATGCCTTATGAGGAACGGCTAAGGGAGCTGGGCATGTTTAGCCTGGAGAAGAGGAGGTTAAGGGGTGATATGATAGCCATGTTCAAATATATCAAAGGATGTCACATAGAGGAGGGAGAAAGGTTGTTTTCTGCTGCTCCAGAGAAGCGGACACGGAGCAATGGATCCAAACTACAAGAAAGAAGATTCCACCTAAACATTAGGAAGAACTTCCTGACAGTAAGAGCTGTTCGACAGTGGAATTTGCTGCCAAGGAGTGTGGTGGAGTCTCCTTCTTTGGAGGTCTTTAAGCAGAGGCTTGACAACCATATGTCAGGAGTGCTCTGATGGTGTTTCCTGCTTGGCAGGGGGTTGGACTCGATGGCCCTTGTGGTCTCTTCCAACTCTATGATTCTATGATTCTGTGATCCATGAGAGGCAGTCAAGTACAACATTCCTTGTAACGCTAGACAAGACATGCGAGGGAATGTTTGGTCCAGCCAGTCGAAACTTCCTGTTCCTCCAGACTGGAGCATCCTTCCTTTTGCATGTGATAGAAGGTGGGCATGACCTAACCTGTCCAGGTAACAAAAGGACGAGTCATGGAGCAATCTCCCTCTTTTTCACTTTCTTCGTCTTTTGACCAGCTTTCAGCTAGCAAAGGCAGTGGGATTATCCCCCCCATATGGGCTAGATCCACATGTACATATTTGTAACTAAGTCTGCCTTCAGGGATCCAACTGTGAACTGATGTAAGTAAACGTCTTTTATTGACTTTGAATAAGATTATGGTCTTTATTCTTTTAAGAGGGACTCATGGGAATTTACCAGGAACGTACAATTCAATCTGAGACAGATTGAATTGTATAATAGTGAGAGGCTTACACAAGCCTGCAACCAGCTATCTGCTGTGCATGTTAAAAGCGGAATGTAAACTCTGCTAAGTAAAGGAACTTGCTAGTGCAAGTTAGGAAGGATATTAATAAACAATATATCCTCTCCTGCCACCCTGAACATTCCCACAGTATCCACAGATAGGTGACATGAAAAGCGAGGCTTCATAATGTAGTAGGCGGGTGTTGTGAGCTCTTCCATTGTGACACAACAATGTGCTTTTTGCAGCACTTTTTGAATACAAAGTAAGAACCGGGAGAATGCCCTAAGCCTTTCTTTGCGGCCAGACCTTCCCGCATTTGACGTTTGATGTCATATGAAGATCTCTCTCTGTGTTAGAGAAGGGGTAGTACCTCTGGCGGGGGGGAGAGAGAGACATGTTGTACTTCACCAGATACATTGTCCACCATTGGTCCCCACCCTGCACTCAGCTCTCACCTGTCCTTATGCAAGAGCAGCCACACTCTGGGAATGGCCAGGTGAGGGTAGCTGATGGGTCTCAAACTCTCAGTGAGACAGGCTTTGGCGGACTGAGTAGACAAGAACAATGGCGGGTCCAATGATCAAGGAGGCTGTTTCTGCACATGCTGTAGAGGGAAGTGAGGGGCAGATGGGGCTCATCAACCTGGGAAGGTAGCCCACCTAGGAGAAGAAAACCTCTGATCCGAAACCTCTGCTGCCTTGGTAGAAACAAAGGCTAAGGAGTAAACGCTACAGAAACCAGAGTGGAGTCCCTAAGACGGTTGGTTGTTTGTACACCTCTTTCCAGCAACTCCTGCAGCCAAGTTGGTGCCAAACATTTTGCTCTGCTCTCCTCTGGACCACATCAGTGATGCTGAGAGGGGGAGTCTTCATCTGGGCAGCCCAGGACCTCCATGCACACTGCCCAGGCATGCACCCCAGGGAAGTCACTTCGGTGATGCTAACACAGTGGTCACCCCCGGAGGCGCACTCCATTGCCTCTCAAGATAGACGGATGCCAACAACAGTCGGTCTGACCATGAGCTGGACGTTCCCCCACCTTTGCTCTACATTTTAGAACATGTGTCAGTCTTCATTCATCTTTGTTGACACCATATCCACCACTAGGAATGGATTTCCAATGATATTCAAGGCCAAGCAGCTTCTGTCACATTCTGGCTTGGAAGCCTCAGCCCAGTCTCAAGTCTTACCCTAGGGATGGCTGTCTGTTCCTAGTATAACAGGCAACTGACACCAACACCAGCATGCCTATGGAGGGATCGGTTCTCCAGTCCACCTTTGATACATATAATAAAGACAAAAGGGAAAGCAAATTTTCAGAAGACTGGGGGGGCTATACACACCTTAAAAGAATCAGTCAGCCAAGGATGAAGCACACTTTACTAAAGGGCTGCGATTTTGCAAGCATATAATTAAGAAACTTTAAAAAAAAAGATAATTTCCATGAATTATCTTTATAACAAGCTGTTCGTGTGCTCCTCTTGGGAGGTTACACGATGCAGCTTATTAAAACGGCACTGGCAAATATATCCCTATGGTTTTTAAGTATTAGGATGACGTGCAGTAATTAGGGACTCTGTCTGAAGATGCTGGTAATTGGGGGAAGGACAGTTTTATGCCAGGGACTCTCCAACTGTCTGCTCTGCAGTTATCTCCTTAGTATCAATGGAACTGCACTGGAGTAAAGGTTTTGCAGAACTTCAGGCTTCAGCAGGATGAAATATTAAACTGCAGGAGGATGTGGAGGAATAGAAAGTAATATAAGCAGCTGGGAAGTAACTAATGGAGCATTAAATTAAAAGAGACGAGAGGGTGGGGGGTTATTTATAATTTCTGAAACATATTTCTGTCTGAGATATGCTTTTCAAGAATCTCTGCTGCCTTATATTAGCAGGCTGGTACCCCAAAAGGAATTTCACACTGAAACATTGGCAGTAAGCAAGCAGGTTATTAATATGCAAAAGTCCTTAAAAAAACCTGCAATACTGAACATAGCCAGATGACGATGAAGTTGTTAGAGCTAGGTGGCAAATATGTGGTCGTGGGAAGCTGTGAGGCAGCATTCACCAAGCTGGTGCCTTTCAAACATTTTGGACAAGAACTCCAATCAGTCCAGAAGAGATTGGAGTGATGGTCCTTGTAGCACCTGTCAGAAGATCAGCAGCATTCTGCATCAGCTCAGGCTTCAGAGTAGTCTTCAAGGGCAGCTCCAAGTGAAGCCCATTTCAGTAATCAAGCCTGGAAGTTACAGAAGTATGGATCAACATAACAAGTTCTCGCTTGCCCGGAAAAACGGAAATGCTTCCTAATGAATCAAAAACCTCCTAATGAGTAAACTATATTTGAAGGTACTTCTGTCAACAACTCCAGCCCGCTTCTCCATCAAGGAGAACCCCCAGGCTAATCAGAGACAACAACCACAGGCAGGCTGATTCCCTCCAAACCATGACCATTTCCTGTCAACATCACCTCCATCTTGTCTATGTCTTATGGGCAATTACATGTTGTTGTTGTTTTTTAAAATGATATTTATTGAGAAATTTTTAAAAATTACACAAAAAAAGAAACAAGACAAAAAAAAAGAAAAAGAAAAAGAAAACCATCATTCTCCAATTCTCCACTTTCAATACCTTCTTTCCTTGACCTCCTCCTCCTCCCTTTTCCTGTATCCTGATTTATAATAGTCACAGCAAATCCTTTCCATAATTCATAATATTCTGTCCTTACATTACCTTAGTCTATTTTCATCTTATCTTATATATAAAAAAGTTTAAAACTTAAATCTTAATTTTACCAACTTCTCCTAACCATAACATTCTTACCTAATTCTTTAAACATTTTTATAAGAGCCAAGTAATTTCATTTCAACATTTTCCTAACATTCATCAATTTTGTTAAACAGTCCTAATGATAGAAATAGAAACTTAAGCAATCCAAACTTCCTCCAGCGTCCCTTCCTCCTGGTCCCGGGTTTTGTCAGTCCTTTTTGTCCTATTAATCTAGCACATTAACCTGGCAATCTTATATCCGAGGCCTTCAAGTCTCTTCCATGTCCCTTCCACCGCTCTTCTTCATGTTTTCCTTTTATTCGTGGGAACTCCAGCTTGGTAATGTTTTTGACCCTTTTCAACAAAACAGCCCCTTTTCCATAGTCCAGACTAGACTCGATGTAGTATTTAAAAACATGTTCCAGATTTCCTTCAAAGTTGAAAGCCCCCACTGCTTCAGACATCTGACGGCCCCTTTCCAGACTCGAAAAGTCCAAATCTCCCTGTATCTATCCACCCCACCCCCCACCCCCATTTCCAAACCAAACCAAATTTTTTCTTTCCAAGTCTGGTCTTTTCCAAGTTCATTTGTCAAATCCAAAAATTTATATTCCTGCTGGGCCGCAGCTCCTTCCGTCTCTGGCGCCCAAGATTCAGCAGAATCCTCATCTCTCAGCTGTTCTGTCATGGCACGCTCCTGTTTTAGTTCCTGGGTGGGCTCCATATAGTTTCCCACTACCTGTTCAAAGGTTCTGGCCGCATTCGTCATCAAATCCGTCTTCTGGCTTAACTGATCCAATAGGGCATTTATTTTGCAGAAAGCACCCAACAGTGCTTCTGCAGACATTGTCCTGCAAGGTCACAAACCCTTTCCCACGGTTGTAATCAGTGACAGCTGCAAGCTCCCAGGGATTAGTTACAATTTCACAGTTCCCCTCTAGGGGGAAAAACTTCTGATTGTTCTTTCTCTTAAAAACAATAGCAACAAAGTTTCTTTTTTAATATATTTTGTCCATATTTGTTCTTTTAAGATGTGAAAGGGAACAATGGAGTCACTATGTTTCTCTTCTTTTAACTATCTGTCAAAGACATTTGTTTCTGGTCAGTGAGCTTCAAACGTCAATTCTGACACCCCGCTCCAGGATCAGGACGGTGGAAAATTACTTTGCTTTAGATTCACTTCTGCAGGTTTGAACAGCTCGAAAAAAGCTCCCCCCTTCTTCTCCTGCTACCGAAGGGGGATTCAGCGATTTTAAATGATGAAAGTCAATCCTTTAAGAGTGATTTTTAAAGCTCTAGTTTGCGTTGTCTTTGCTTTGTTCTGGCTACAGGGAAACGGAAGGCTGACTTCCTGTTTAAACCTTTCCGTTTCAGTACCAAATTAGGGTAAATTTTTAAGTCCAAATTCCTTTCTATTTCTCCAGTTCTTATTTAAAGTCCAGATATTCAATGTTCCAGTACTCACGGTTGGTTATTTTAGATGCCAAATTGTCCCAGGAAAAAGGCAGCGCTCTCCGGCAACGGCTATGCGGCTTCGCTCCGCAGGAAAAGCGATTGACTCACAGCACCGCGCCACTTCCTCCTCTTCGCTTCAGAGCCCGTTTGTGGGTTCCTTTGCGGGTTGGGGGGGTGCTAAGGGTGCCCGCCGAGTCCCACGGTCACAGGCTTCATCCTCCTGTGATTTCCAGAAGGGTCCCCGCTTCGCCGCAGCGGAAAAGACCCGTTTCATGCAGAGCTGGTCCCTCTAGTTCGGAGGGAGTCCGCCATTGCCGATGGCGCCACCCCGGAAGTCATGGGCAATTACATGTTGCTCATCATTGCTGCAACTCTCCATCCTCCATCTTGACCTGTCTTTCTGCTGCCCCAAAGAAACAGATCAACCATGGTGCTGTGACTATAGCAATATAATAAACATGACATGGCCCAATCCTTGCTTCTTTTCTTCAGGAGCTGAACTGTGAGCAAAGTGGTTAACATTGGTTAAAAAAAATCAGGTCTCCTAGGAGCCAGATGAAGGCCCTTTGTGGGTTAGATTTGCCTTCTGGGCTACCAGGTAGCTGCTCCTGATTATTTATGGATAATACGAGGAGTCTGAGCATATTCAGTTCTGGTTTACTTCGGTTCAAGGGGAGATGGAAGGTGGCAGAGGATGTGTGGGAGGAAGGCGATGCCTTCTCAAGAAAGGTTCGCTAATTTCCGTCTGTTGTGCAGAATGAATGTGTCTGAAGTGCTTATTTTTGTACTTATGATGGGCCTTCAGCCAGAACAAGTCATCAGCCTGTATAATATGAGTCAAAACACAAAACATGTAATTACTTGTGCGTCTGTCAAGCTTTCCTGAGCCCTTTCTTTCAGTTTATGTAACTACCGACAAATATAACCTATTTCTTGCTGTTCCATGAACAAAGGAAATTGGGGGCTATATTTTTACAAGAAAATGCTGCTGATTGCAACAGGTCCTTTCCAGCACAGAAACTGGAGAAATAACTTGTATTAGCACAAGCAAATGCCTGTTATTTGGTGGCATTCACACTATAGATTTTTGAAACAGGGAGACAGAGCTATGGAAAATACAATAATTTGAAATACCTTGGTGTTAATATCAAAATAGTCTACCCTAGAGATGCTGAGATGGAAATAGAATGAATATTTTGTTAACTACTCACTATAGCTAAATTTTCTTTCACATTGACTCATCTCATTTTCAATTATTTTGCATCCAAGTCTCCATCTCTAATCTTCTTCAGCATCTTCACTTAAGTGATGGAGTAAGTGTCTAAGGACCGCAACATCCCACATGATATCTTAATTCTTCTAAACCGTGGCCATCCCTTCTTATATTCTCTTTCCACTATTATCAACAAATTCTCTGCAATGAGCTAAAAATTATCTATGGCCCAAGAGGCCTGGCTGGATAAATATATTACTACTCTCTGCAGGCTTCAATACCTCATCAAGGATAAAGTTTTGTTCTACCATTATCTCTTTTTTTTAAAAAAATGATATTTATTAAGGTTTCAAAAGAAGGGTACATAAATAAGAAAGAGAAAAATAGAAAAAAGAAAAATACAAAATACAAAAAAAAAAACAATTAAAAACAATTCCATCTTTTCATCACTTCTCTTTCATTTACTTGTTTCCCGGACCTCCTCATACCTCCCTTTTTTGTATTCCAGTTTGATTTATTAGTCCAGCAATTCCTTTCCCTCCTTTTTAATCCTGATCTTTAATCTTAATATATTATAGCATTAGGTTTTTACGTATTAAAAATCCAATTTTTCCATATTCTTTTATACCATTACAGCTAGAAACCACTTAACTTCAATCCAACATCATTCTAACATTCATTAATTTTACAATATTTCTGTAAGTAGTCTTTAAATTTCTTCCAATCTTCTTCCACCGACTCTTCTCCCTGGTCTCGGATTCTGCCAGTCATTTCCGCCAATTCCATGTAGTCCATCATTTTCATCTGCCATTCCTCCAGTGTGGGTAGGTCTTGCGTCTTCCAATGCTTTGCAAAAAGTATTCTTGCTGCTGTTGTAGCATACATAAAGAAAGTTCTGTCTTTCTTTAACACCGATTGGCCGACTATGCCCAGGAGGAAGGCCTCTGGTTTCTTCAAGAAGGTATATTTAAAAACCTTTTTTAATTCATTATAAATCATCTCCCAGAAAACCTTAATCCTTGGGCACGTCCACCAAAGGTGAAAGAATGTACCTTCAGTTTCTTTACATTTCCAACATTTATTATCGGGCAAATGGTAGATTTTTGCAAGCTTGACTGGGGTTATGTACCACCTGTATATCATTTTCATAATATTCTCTCTTAAGGCATTGCATGCCGTAAACTTCATACCTGTGGTCTACCATTATCTCAGCTTGTGATATTTTGTGTAATGCAGAACCTGATTCTAAGTCCAGGTCTACTGTGGTTTTCTGACTTGGTTCTGCCTCTGCCATGTGTCTGATACTGATACCATCAACAGCCTTATGAAACAGAAACTGTTTCATAATGCTCTCGTAGGGGTTCCATCTGAGTGGGGAAGAGAAGACTGGGTGTTTTGCTATAGGAATATGTGTTACAATTCCCACCTATCTCATTTCATCTGCTTTAATATCCTTCCCTGTCTGTCTGGCATGCTTAACAGTTTATTACGGTGAAGCAGCTATCATTGTGCAACTCCTGGACTGAACAGGATATGAAATGATGGCAGAATAAATTCACCATTATATAGAGAGAGAGAGAGAAAGAAAGAAGGAGTTCCTAGCTTCATCTATTTTACTTTATATTATTTACAAGCATATTTTTTGGGGGGGGGATATGCAAATTGTTGACTCTTCCATAAGCTTTTTCTTGGATCGGGCTATAGCTTGATAGGTGGTGATGCTTACTTAATGATTCTTGATAGCTGGTGTCTACGGTGAGCTATTAAAACTTTCCTGCCTCATGCCAGCCACATTCCTGGGTACATGTGGAAGGAGACATGTGATGGAGTATTTGTGAAAGAAGATAGGAGAAGAGTCAGTGAGTTATTTGGGGACAGGTCATAAGTGGATGGGTGCTGTTGGTTGGGGGGGGGGCGACATCACTTTGGAGACTAGTACACTACCCTATAAGGCTGCCTGATGTCATCTACCTTTGAAGGTGACTCGGAAACTACAATTAATCCAGAATGCGACAGCTAGACTGGTGACTGGGAGTGGCCGCTGACACCATATAACACTGGTCCTGAAAGATCTTCATTGGCTCCCAGTACATTTCCGAGCACAATTCAAAGTGTTGGTGCTGACCTTTAAAGCCCTAAATGGCCTCAAAGGCCCAGTATACCCGAATTAGCGTCTCCACCCCCATCATCCAGCCCGGACACTGAGGTCCAGCGCTGAGGGCCTTCTGGTGGTTCCCTCGCTGCGAGAAGTGAGGTTACAGGGAACCATGCAGAGGGCCTTCTCAGTAGTGGCACCTGCCCTGTGGAACGCCCTCCCAGCAGATGTCAAGGCAATAAACAACTATTTTACTTTTAAAAGATAACTGAAGGCGGCCAAGTTTAGGGAAGTTTTTAATGTCTGACGCTGTATTGTTTTTAATATTCGGTTGGAAGCTGCCCAGAGTGGCTGGGGAAACCTGCCAGATGGGCAGGGTATAAATTATTATTATTATTATTATTATTATTATTATTATTATTATCCCCATTGCTCAATGTATAGTTTTAAAAAGCCCATAGTACACAATTGCCCTCATTATTCTTCCCTCACAAAGGAACAGATTCTGTAACACTTGCCTTGGAATATCCTATCTTTCAGGGAGTGAGGGGTGGGGGTGAAGCAAATACAGTAAGTAATAAAATCTGGCAAGTTTCTGGTGATGTTTTCATCACCCTTTAGTCTCAGCACGGTATAGAGTTCTATCGCCTCTGCTGAGCTTCTCAGCTGGGCTTTTCTCAGGAAGGTAGAGGTGAAATCCTATGCATGCTTGCTCAGAGGTCCCCATGAGAGGGCAGGCTTCAGCCTTAATGGGGACCTCAACACTGAGTCTTCTGGTGGGGCCCCTCCTGCAATGGAACCTTTCCTCCCCCCACCCCAGTCCCTGGTGGGCTTACCTGCTGGTGGACAGAAATTGACAGCAGTGGTAGTGCTCCACTGAGTACCCTCTCTGGCACCCAACTTCTCATCTGCAATTGCCTGCCCCAATGGAGCCTGTCCCAACCTGATGGGTCCCTCTGCACAGTTGTCAACATGCAGCTCCTTCCCCTCCTGCCACCCTGTCTTGGTCCAACCAGCCCCTCCACAATGTCCCTTCAGGACTCATGGCACAGGCACAGCTTCCAGGAGATGCCAGGGCCAGCCCATCCATGAGACATCAGGCGGCAGGATCCACAGGGGCAGCAGATCCTGATGTAGATATTTATCCCCCTCTCCCCTGTTCCTGTCCTGATGTAGAACTTCACTCACCCCTTCTTCCCTGGTGGGGACGGGGGGGGGGCTATTTTGTGGTTTGCCTCAGGTGCCAAAATGCCTTGCGCCAGGCCTGCCAGGGGCTGGTCCTGGCCTTGCCCTTCATGTTCAGTGGGGCCAATCCCCAATCAATCTCTAATGCAGTGGGTATGCTATGCTACGCTATGCTAATGCTAAAGAGTATAGGATTTGTAGAGTAGTAAGCTGCATAGTGGGACGCGGGTGGCACTGTGGGTAAAAGCCTCAGCGCCTAGGGCTTGCCGATCGCATGGTCGGCGGTTCGAATCCCCGTGGCGGGGTGCGCTCCCGTCCTTCGGTCCCAGCGCCTGCCAACCTAGCAGTTTGAAAGCACCTCCGGGTGCAAGTAGATAAATAGGGACCGCTTACCAGCGGGAAGGTAAACGGCGTTCCGTGTGCTGCGCTGGCTCGCCAGATGCAGCTTGTCACGCTGGCCACGTGACCCGGAAGTGTCTGCGGACAGCGCTGGCTCCCGGCCTATAGAGTGAGATGAGCGCACAACCCTAGAGTCTGGCAAGACTGGCCCGTACGGGCAGGGGTACCTTTACCTTTACCTTTAAGCTGCATAGATTTGCTGGCTATCTCCACGATCTCTCTCTTTTTTTTTAATGATATTTATTGAAAATTTAAAATTACAGAAAGAAAAAGGAAAAAGCAAGAAAAAATAAAAGAAAAAAAGGTATACAAGAAAAGAGATTAAACAATATAAGTCAATAAAAACAAAAGTCAAAAAAAAGAAGAAAAACAAAACACACAATACATCAGATTAAAAAAACACACAAAAATAAACAAAAAATTTAAAAGCAAATCCAATATTCCCAAATCCTTATCTTTCATTAACTTGTTTCATCGACCTCCTCACACCTCCCTTTTTTGTATTCTAGTTATTAATTATCTCAGCAAATCCCTTCCATCTTTCACAATATTCTGTCATTAAATTACCTTAATCTATTTTAACCTTATCTTACTATAAAAAACCCTAAAACTTAAAACTTAAATCTTATTTATACCCAATTCTTTAACAAAACATATTTATACATAATTCTTTTTAACATTTCTACTAAAGCCAAATAGTTTCATTCCAACATTTTTCTAATACTCATTAATTTTACAATAATTTTCTAAATGAATTTTTAAAACTTTCTTCCAGTCTTCATCCGTCGTCTCTTCTTCCTGGTCTCGGGTTTTGTCAGTCCTTTCTGTTCCATCCATCTAGTCCATCAACCTGGTGACCTTCTATCTGAGGCTCTTAAGTCCTTTCCATGTCCCTTCTGCAGGTCTTCTTCATGTTTATACCTGCACTTTACTTTATCTTCTGCTGATCTTATTCTTAATTTCCTTCCTTTCTCTCGGGGAGACTCCAACTTGACAATATCTTTATCCCAAAGTCAGCCCATTCTCCATAGTCGACACTGAAATCCAAAAGATATTTAAAGGCATATTTCAAAGTCCCTCCAAAATTGAGGGCCCCCACAACTCCGAACTCCCCCTGGCCCAAAGCCAGATCCGAAAAGTCAAAACATCCCTGCATAGGGGGGTCTATCCAACTTCCCATCTCCAGACCAAACAGTACTCCATCTCTCCAAATCTGACTTTCTCCAGGTTCAGTCGTCAAAGACAGCAACTTATGTTCCTGCAAGGCTGCAGCTCTCTACATTTCTGGTACTTGAGGTTCAGCAACTACCTCCTCCTTTATCTTCTTCACCACTTGCTCTGTCAAAGCACATTCCTGGATTGATTCCTGAGTGGTTACTATATAAGTATTCACTGTTTGTCCAAAATTTCCAACTGCAACAGTCATCAAATCCATCTTCTCATGTAGCTGTTCCAGTAAAGCACTTGTCTTGCAAAAAGCAAGCACTAAAGCTTCTTCTGGGCACATTCTTGTTCAAGGTCGGTGTCTAGTTCCCACGATCTTTTATCTCTACAGCTGTAGAATTCCACAGATCGACTCCAGCAACAGTTTCACAAGCTCCCTCTAGAGGAAACAATTTCTATTTGTATCCGTCTTTTTAAAAGCAGATTCTAGCAACAAAGTTCCTTTCATTTCCCAAATATTTCGTTCCTTTTAAATGCAAAAAGGAACATTGGAATCAATATGTTTCTCTGTCAAAAACGTTTTGTCCACAGTCAATGAACTTCCCCAAAGTGTCTGTCTCTGACACCCCGGTCCCAGGATCAAGACGGTGGAAATTTATCTTTCTTTACTCTCTCTTCTGCAGGTTTAAACAGTCTAAAAAGATTCCCCCCTCTTCTCCTGCTTCCAAGGGAGGTTTCGTGATTTTAACTGGTGGAAATTTAGTCCTTTACAAACGGCTTTCCAGACTCTAGCTTGCAATGTCTTTGCTTCAATCTATTTACAAAAGCGGAAGGCGGACTTCCTGTTTAGACCTTCCCGCTTCGGTGCCAAATTAAAAAGTTTCTTAATCCAATTTTCCGTTCTACTCACGGGCAGTTGTTTAAAATCCAATTGTCCACAGGAAAAAGTCAGCGCTCTCCGGCAACAACAATGCGGCTTCACTCCGTGAAAGAAGCAGTCGATTCGAAGCACCGCGCCGCTCACCCCACGTTACTCCGGATCCCCGAAACCGGGTTTCCCCGCGAGTAGGGGAGGCGCAAAAGGTGCCAGCCAAATCCCACGTCCACAGGCTTCTCCCGCCTGTCGTTTTTAATGGGTCTCCGCCTCACCGCGGCGGTCCAGACCCTAGTTCTCACGAAGCGGATTCCTCCTGGTCAGAGGAAATCCGCCATTGCTGGAGGCGCTAACCCGGAAGTCCCCTATCTCCACGATCTCACAGGGAGGTTTTTCCCAGCCAGGCTACCTGATTGTACCTGTTATGAGTGAAGCGCATGCACTCAACAAGCTCCGCCTCCAAATATGGAATACTTCACTAGTAAGACTGGACCCCGTTTTAC